CCAGCACTTTGCAGACTGTACTCGACTGACTTGAGCACTGCTTTCTTAGTTATTATAATCCGTCGTGGAATAGATTGGTAGTTTTAAGTTTGTAGGCAGAAAGTATCTTTTACTTTTGAAACAATTTATTCTATGTATTGACATTGCAGTTAATTTATTCTAAAGTCCCATATTCGTCCCATATTATCAATGCATATCACCTGAGAAGGCTTCATGAATCATAAAGTCACCTTTTAGATAACCACGCTGGTCAACTTCAAAGAGTCGTATCTTTTGAATGGCAAACCGAAGTCAGAAAGGGCGATTCGAGCAGCATTGAAGGTTTGTATCTACCTTTGTTGATTGTTTTACTCCCTTGAATAAAAATCATTGATGTATTTCTATGTTTAAAGGTAGGCAGCGCAGTCGAAGCCGCTATTGAGCGATTCGTAGCGGTAGGAGAAACAATTGCCGATGAAAATCCGGACATTCAACCCGAGATGTACGATGCATGTCACGAAGCACGACTGGCAGGTTCGTTATTTTTACTTGTCTCGCCTTCGACAAACTTTCGCATCAGCTGTTTTTAGTTGATGTTCCGCAGTGTTAAGTGATTTCGATTTATGCAATGCACTTCTGAAGTGTAAAGTTGTCAAAAACCAATTTTCACATTGGAAATGAACGGAGCAGGCGCGCATCTCAGGTTTTGCTGATACTTTTTCCGCTTGAAGCTGTTTGGCTTATTAAGAGGCTGCTTTATTCTGGTAAGTGGTACGTGAGACATGCGAGCTAATATTCTCGTCAATCTTTTTGAACGACTTACAAGTTAAAGTTATTCACGCTCATTCGACCCTCACCTTTAGTCACGACCAATTTTTTATTGATGACTTCACTCGGAAATTTTGTACATTGGGATTTTTTCACATCCCGATCACGGATAAGACATGCATGTTTGACTCCGGCGCCAACGAGCGCCAATTTGGCGTCACGATCGTTTAAGCGAAATTGGTTTAATTTGCGTTTGCGGGTATTCAAGGATCGCGGTCAGATTATGACATCCATTTTTGACGCAAGCGCAAGGTTGGCACAACGAGGAATTAGTGGCACTAAATGGCGCCAGCCCCAAAAACGGGTGTTACATTTGTAATCAGGATTCTGATTACAATCGTTTGAGGGCGGCGGGTGACTTCCCCACCCGCCGCACTTTAAACGCTAATTTTTACACTGAATTTTGAAAAAGAAGGCCGTTGTGCCAAAGTGGCGCCGAGCGGCATGTTGGAGCGGACGCTGTGTGTTGCGGTAGCAATCGAGACACCAAAGGGCCTCAGCAGATCAGTCTACACTAAAATGTTCTGTGTGCGATGCATTTCTGGAGAGCAGGATGGGTTTATGAATTGACTGCGCTTTAGAAACTTGTTTACAAATAAGTTTTGCAAATAAACTATTGGACTTTTCATGGGCAAATCACATGCGGGAATTCGTACACCCACATGTCATATAACAACACAAAAGATTTGCCCAACAGCGAAAACAGAGAAATATTAGCTTGCGAAGATCGTGACACATCGCGTGAGTCACGCGGTCGCGGAATGTGTTTATTTAGAACTTTACGAAATGACCTCAGTTTTAGCAGTCGGTCACAGAGGACTCTGTAATTCGTAAGGAGTAGTCAGAGCTGCATCGGTGTACTGAACGCGAACTTAAGTTTTTGGTGTCATATTTTTTATTGTTGAATTGTCTGTCAAAAAAGACATCCATCCAGTGGTGGTTTGCAAATTTGATCGATTGTGTCTGATACTGTGATCCGATAGTACTGTGAACAGTGCAGTAATTCGACCGTCCGTCTATTAATTTTTCAGTAATATTTCAGGAGCATCTATAGCCAACCTTTCCTGCTGTTCTTCGGACGTCCCCGATGCGCCACTGTTGGACAAAAGTGTGCTTGTGCGAGCCAGCCGACAGCTTCTCAGTAGCGTTACGAGGGTGTTGCTATTAGCCGATAGGGTGCTCGTGAAACACATTTTGCGAGCTGAAGATAAGGTGAGAAACCTTGAGTGATCTATTTAACTTTTGGTTCTGGCGAAAAGCGCTGTCGGCATACCAGTTTTGATACGTCGCTGGCAACCCAAACTGAAAATAGCAGGTTAATTCCTCAAATTGCCCTTTTGTGAGAACTGCTCAGCCCAGCAGTTCTACAAAAGCATCACGTATTAATTTCGATGAGCTGCAGCTTTCCAGCATTTCATTATGAGCTTTGACATCAAGTTTAAGTCTATCAAATTACTCTTAGTAGATCTTCCTAACTGCGTTTTTCAAGATGGCGTCAATTCAGTCGCCAAAGAGTTGCTAAACTACTCGCATTTTTATTCTTTCTATTCGTTTTAGATTTCCCTTTTTCAGAAGCTTGGATCGAACAAAAATTCATTTCTTGCAGGTAGCGTACTCACTTTCGCGATTAGAAGTTTGTCGATCTTTCACAGAGTTTGTTAAAATTTTTGCTGAATTTGGCGGTGAAATGGTGGACTTGGCTCATAGGTCTGGTGACAGGTGAGATCTAGCACTTTTAGAAGACTATTTTCTACCTGTCATTTCTTTTGCTTCAGTTTTCAACTTATTGTGCTTGGCTTCGTCTGCGCAACATTTCTGTATTCATTTTATTATTCGCATTACAGGCAGCACGATTTGAAAAGTGAGAAGCGGAGGGCTCAGATGGGTGTGGCTAGAGCAGCTCTCGAGCGGCACACAATGCTTTTGCTGACATCCTCAAAGACCCTCCTGCGGCATCCAGATTCTGAGACTGCTCTGCAGTGCAGGGATGGAGTGTTTGAGCAGGTAAGTGTAACCAGTTTCCTTTGATGGCTCTTCAAGTTATGCGTGTTATATTAGTTTTCTCATAAATTTTGTTCCACGTTTGAGTCATGGAATCTTTTCAGATCCGAACCGCTCTTCAACTTATCGCCATTTGTGTTTGTGATGGTGTCCTTCCCGTGGATCCAGTACGATTTGTCCAAACATCCACTGAGGAACCACTAGATATTGGTATTCAACTCACAGCTAATGCCGCCATCAAACAACTCACCGTATGTCTTATTTGTAGTCTTACACTAGTTTGAAAAAAAATCAATATGTTCCGAAATAGAGCGCGCAGAGTCGGCGTCATGTGGTGCAAATAATCACCGACTTAGCGCCCATATATTTCCACCAGAATCCATACAAGCCAAGGTCATTTGGCCTCCTGACCTCCCGGCCTCTTGCGAATAAAACCTTTGTTTGAGTGCAGACGCTAAACTGGTGCCAGATTGGAGCTAACCTTGTCAAAAAAAATTTAAAATGCCCAGCGCACTGATGGGCATTTTAAATTTTGGATGGGCATCACTAGTATGCTGGTATGCGGAGGCGTGTATACGAGTGCACTCAATATGTAAGGAGAGAGCATGAAAATGACAAGTGGAACAATGTTGTGAAAGCTCCAAAGTCGCAATGAATACCTCAAAGCTGGGCGGGGTCGTCTTTGTGTCAGTGTGTAAACCATTATCAGCTAATGTCTGTGTGTGCGAAATATTAGAAGTGCAAAAGTCACAGAAGGGAGAGTTATGGAGAAAACACACAAAATTATCATTGCGCTGAAAAAAGGTATGAGTGGGCGAGGGGGAGGAGGGTCGAGCGAAGATGTCTAGTGGGATCGGGGAAAGTAGTGGTGAGGCTATGCCTGAGACAGCTGTATTTCGCAAAAGTTTTACCAAACAAAAAATGGTCCATGCTAGGCATTATGAGCAACCGTTGGCTCATGCCCGACCTTTCAACTCACGCGGGGTTTACTCAAAAAAACGATCGTCGACAATGTTATCACAAGTATGTTGAGTTGTGTGCAAAGGTGAGACCGCAGGCGGGACTCGAACCCGCACCCCAATCCGCCATCCATGACGCGCAATGGATAGATTCGCCCGATAGGCGTAAGGTGCAGGCTCGACTACCGCCTGGCGTCTAACTTTTGCCCATAAAGCATTGTTGTTAAGATGAATCCGGAGCGCAAGCTGCGCCGTTAAGAATCAGCTGTCATGATAAAATTACGTCAAAGTGTTCAAACCGATGACGATTTTTGCTCGGTTCCCAATGAACTTGTGTCGGTAGAGTAGCAGTTCTAAATTGTAAAGTTGCTCAGAAAAGGTCGAGAAATCTTTAGTATTTATTTTTTCGCTACATTACATTCTATATTTGAACTTTTAACAGTATTCCTTATTTTTGTGAATTTTTAAGGAGATGCTGGAGATGGTTCGAATGACATCCAGAGTTGGAGTAGGAGTCAGAGAGCGGCTTATCGGTGCACTCGATGCACTTTGTGAAATGACTCAGGTTCAGTTTAATAGTAACTCTTCTGCTTACGTATCTGGCAGTACAATTCGCGGATACCCCAGACATAGGAAGGGCATAGCTTCGTTTTTTCATTCGAACAGGCATGCATGCGTTTATCGTGGGATTTTTCTGTTTGAGATAACTGTGTTCCGTGTTGTGGTGAACAAAGAAATGAATGAAATCCTGCCGAAATATTGCCGGCATTATACTGTCAGAAAAGCAGTAGGCGCCACGTTCACATGAAAGACACTGCAACGCCCCTCCTGTCTCCGGGGTTTGGAGTGTATGCATATGTGATTCACTGAATTCAAAAGTAGTTGTTTTCTTAAACACCCCATTGACTGTTTTGGGAAATACAGTTCAAAGCATAATCGTGAGGATTTATGCATTGTAGCTTTCCTGGTACCTTTCTAGGATTTCACTGATTCCGCGTATACACCGCACCACCATCGAGAACAAATTTTGGATTTCTTAGAAGAGTGTCGCTTCGAAATGACCAATCTCATTCAGCCCGAAGTGAGTGATCTTCGTTATTACCTTTTTACTGGTTCTCATGAGCAAATCAATTTCAGGACGAGTCCTCCGACCAGTTACGCTCCGATGGCATTGAGGTAACAGTCGAGCGGTTGAACAGACGATTGAAAGATCTTGGAAAACAGTTGCAAATCGTGGCGATGGAACATGTAAGAGATGTCATCTTCCGATTCTATCAACGGATTCTAATTTTGGGTCTCGAAAATGTACAGTACTGCGCATCCGAATTTATTACTGCGATTTTGTAGATTTCTGAAGTTTTGCGTGCTAATGAAGACCAAGTACTGCTCTCATCGATAAAAGCATGCGCAGTTTCCGGCGATATTGACGGCGTTGAAAGATATATGGAAAAATTCAGGGAACATGCTGAGCATATGCAAGAAGTCAGTCATTTTCTACTATATATGAACATTATGTTGAACAAGTACTATTTTTTGCTTTCAAAATCGTGCAGTTCACATCCTGACTGTTGGTTTTCAAGGTGTGCCGGTTGCTTCACCATATATCATTGACAGATGCGCTCCATGTAAATACTGGACACTGCGAGCGAAATATGAGGGCACTGGCGCCCTTGGTTAGTTTTTCGTAGTAGCCAAGTCGTTCATTTTTCATTTTGATTCGAATCGTCGAATTACAATGGTGTTCTCATTTTTCTTATTCTCGTTTTTGATCGTGCAGATGTTCATCCTTTCTTCTGATCAAGCTGTTAGTCTGCCAGAAAATGACTTCTGCACAAAGGTCGAAGAAGTTTTAGATGTTTCCCTGTAGAAAGTATTGTCATCGAATATGCCGCACTTCCTCACCACGCCCACCCGACCAACTGGAAAGTGTAAGCAATGAGCAGGAAAATTTGCAAAGTGAGACCCCCCTCCCCAAGTATTCCCATTTTGGTGCGGGTCCTCTTCCCTATCTGCCGTCCTACCGACCATTTTCCTAATTTCTCGCAACTTCCTACCACTTTTCCGCAGTTTTTTTCCTGCAAAAACCTCCAGTTTTTCCACAGGACAAGCTACATTCCTACGGAGGGGGGAGTACTGCGCACGCGAAATATTACCCCCCTCCCCCACCCCGTACAGCGCGAAAAGTCAGCCAAAAGCATTTTTCTCGAAGGCAAGTAGGACTCCCTTCTCGCTGGGGATCCCAACGGCGACGTGTCCTATGCAATACTCTTACAGTTAACATTTTCAAGCATCTTTCGTCTAGTATCCCTATCATCTACTGCTCTTCCTTCTGATAGATTTTTACGCGAACAAAATTATTATTTCACCGTAGTATTATTTCCCCTCAATATTCATTGTAATTACAGACCTTGATGTCGGGCCGTACCCTCTGTCAACATCCATCCAGTCGGATTGCTCGGGAGAATCTGGAAGTATTCTGTGATACCTGGGGCCAATCGGTTTGTTTTTTAGACTTCTTTTGTTCACCGCAGTGCTTATTCTGATTTTCTTGGAAGGGAGGAAGCCGAGAATGAGAGCGAGTTGCTCAGGAGGTCTTACGGGGAATTCACTGCCCCTTTTTCGAGTTTGGAAGTGAAACTTGATGGTTTTCAACTCATCTGTTCATTTGCCTGGTAATCCAATGAAAGTCTCAGTGGTAATCCAAAGTCGGGGTAACCTTTCGGGCTCTGAGCTCTCTCCTCGCCAGGGAGGATAAACAGGTCAGTCCGGTCATTTGCAATGAGGTGTTCGCCGTCGCACGCTCCTTAAGACAGTGAACTCGAATTTACCTTTGGAATTTGCTGAGCTATACAATGAATGGAAGATGTGAAAATTTCCAATTTTTCTCCAACCGCACTGGCACTGGCGCCTGTAGTGCGCCACATGATCACTTTCGCGCAATATGGGTGTGGTTACATTCTGGAGTTCCTGTTCAGGGGTCAAATAATTCCTAGCGACAGCACTCTAGCAACCTGATATTTGACTGAATTTCAAAAAAGGTTTAGGTTGGTTGAAGCTATTAATTAGCAGCGCTGTGTCATTAGGTCTAGCTTATTAACGTCTACTCTTCTTCGAGCTGAATTCACTCTTTAGCCCCTTCACGAA